ATCTTCAGAGTGCAGGAGCACAGACAGGAGCAGTTCAATGCCGATCACAGGTGCTGGCGAAACATTAGGAAACAAAACTTCAAGACCACGGCCACACAGCCCGGAAGACCCACACCAGCCATCGTATGCCGGCCGTGAAAGCCTTCAACAATACAACAGCCAGCTAGTTCAGCTTCTCAGCTCTCCAGCTGCTTTTGGACAGGCATGAAGGCAAGAGCTACAGTGTCTCAAAAATCAATCTTGCTTTGAAGCAGTTTCAAGTCCAAGCTCAGCTGCCAAATGGAAAATGGTGAGGGGGTGATCAGCAGGACAGAACACCAGTTCTGGAGTGGAAGACACCACATATAGAGATGCCCAAACTGATGTTTCAGCAGCTACCACCCTCCCCATCAGAAGATTTTCCCACAATACAATGGAGTGCTGATAACACCCAGCTTATTCTATTAATCAAATTCTCCACATAGTGAAGAGGGATCACTTCCAAAGTCTCACACATACTAGCCGATTCCAGGAAAACAGTTATGTAGAAGTTCTTTACAGCATTCAGTAGACAACTCTGAAGCATCTCAAAATTCCCAACACAATGGAGGTCAGCCACAGTGCAGGGAAAATTGTACCGTTTCCATTTATCTAAACTGAGCCTGATTGAAAAACAAGATTTATTTCCTGATCAGAGAGGACTCTTTTCCAGGTTTGGCTGCTTTCTTAGACCACTTTTGTTGTGGGACATCAGCTGGCTCAACATCTTAAAGGAGGACAGAAAGCCAGCAGAAAACAGCAGACATAGGTCTCTTAAGCTGAACCCAGCCAATTATTCCAAATTGCTCTTTACACTCCAGCTTCTACCCAGAAACACCGTAAAATCCATACACATGAATTGCCACAAAGGGATCCTTCATCATAAAGTCTTTGTGGCAAAATGCAGCAGCTGAACACTGTTTGCCATCCAATCATGTAATCACCCAGGCATACATTCTGTCCTGGCACTCTGATAAACCAGTTGGGAGAGATGGGTTTTACCTTTTCACAGAGCAGTTCTCATGAGGGACAGTCAGGAGCTTACAGGCTAAACTGGGTGCAGGAAAAGAGGTGGATGACAAACCAAGATAAACCAGGCAGCTTTGGAGCTGTTGAAGTTTTGCTTATTCCAGAGTGGATTCGAGACCACTGAAGTGTTCCAGCATGGGCCAGGAGAGGACTGCTGTTCCGGGGTGGCCTGATGGCCTCGAAGCTCTGTTCTCTCCAGATATTGTGACAGGATGTTCATCCTAGAATGTCTTGGTTTTTTTCTGGCTGGTCTTAATTTTATGTCCAGTTTGGGGGTGGGGTGTGAGAAGAATCAAACACTGAGATTTGTAAGAGGCACAGTTTGTAGTACCAAAGCTTGCCTCTTTCCAGCCATGTTGGTAGGTCAGTCAGACTTTTTTTTAGATGCAGTTCTGTGAGCAGCAAAAAGGCAATCTCAGTATTGCTGTCCCAACTGTGAAACAAGTTGAAAAACAATTACCTCTACCAAGAGGAATGTATTATACAAACCCAGCTGCTCTCCTGTCAATCAAAGCAGTTACCCAGGCATATTTAATAATTTGCAATATGTGCCAGTGCACAAGATTTCACTGTCATTTGTCATCTTTCACAAAACCAGAAGGCATCTATGATGCCTGGAGAACTGCAGCTGAAATTACTGTCCAGTGGATGTTTTGAGAGAACCATGTTTTCCCAAAAGAAATAGATGGCTGTTATTCATGCCAGGGAATGGCAAAAGCAACCCTTAAATGGGGGAGGGGGAGAGAGAAAGAGAGCGTGCATGCGCACACATGTACATGCATGTTACAAATATGAAACAATTGTGCAAACAGTAGTTCGTGAGATTTTCTTCAGCTTAGGAATGCATCTGAATTCTTGATTAAAATGATAGAGATCCACACAAATTCATTCAAGATTAATTAGTGCAACCATCAAATCTAACCTAGGGACATAGTGGCATCCTAGCAGTACTATTAGATCCTGGCCTCCGGGCAAAAGGTCAAGGCCTGATGTGCTCCAGGAGCAACCCAAACATCTGCAGACAAAAGCTACACCCTTGGATTAAAAAAGGAAGAAATCCAGCTCTGCAATGATTGTCATAGCAGCTCTTAAGATACCCACTGACCCGATTTTGCCTCTGCAGAGCCCAGGTGAACTTTCTGAGAGGTCAAGGTGTTAGAAAGCCATCTTACAACTTTGCTAAGGAATACTCACGTACCAGATACTCTCAGTAAGATATTTCTTCATTTATAAAATTTAAGAAAATATTGTGCCACGAGAGGAAAATGGCGGAGAATCCCTGCTCAGTTAATGCCTTTGAGTTAGCTTCTGTCTACCATCACATACTTAGCAAAAGATATGGCTTCTTGACACCAGCCTGTGAGTTTTTCCAGAGGAGCAGCTTGAATGGAAGAAGGAAAGAAAAATATGCTAACTGGACAAACTTGGAAGACAGACAGTAGCTGCAGAGGGTGGCACACTGGGGCCCTTCTCCAGGACTCTTAATCCTAGCAAGTCATTGGCCTTTCATAAAAAAGTATGAAACTGTCCCACCACCAACATTCATGCATGTATTTTTTTAGTACTTTATTTTTTTAAGGGGAAGAGGGCTTTTTAAAGTACAGTTTAGAGTTTGAAAAGAAGCAGAGAAATTTCTTGTTGACAAACTGGCAGAAAAGGTCATCAGCCTCATAATAGGCCATATTTCTAATGCATTTATCCATTCTCCAACTCCAAACAAACTCAAACCTTGAAGGGCTAAAATGAATTGACTGCAATACAAGTGTTTCTAGACTGGCCATTTGTTCTAAAATATTGTTTCTATCATCACCTCTAGAAATATGAAGGATTAGAACTGGAAGATTCAATGGACGGAACAGTCTTCATACAATGTATCTGAGAAAGGAAGAATCCACTCAAGTAGAAATAATTGCGTCCCCTCATAAGGCTCAGAAATGATTGCTAAGATGCTTGGAAATTCCTTAACATTGTAACGATTTATTCAGTTTGTCAACAAAAAATATGCCTTTTTTACAAATGTATGCTTTTAATTTTTTCCAAAATTAAAACATTACATTTTTTCCAAAATTAAAACATTACATTAATTAAAAAAACATTTATTGAATATTACATTAAGGTGTTATGTGTATGTATGTATGCATGACTGCCAGGTTACCCTCTAAGTGCATTGGATCACAAATCCCATATTCCCCAGAAGCAAAATCAACAGTGCCAGATCAGGGAAAGCTGGACTGGATTAGCCAATCACACAAGATTGGATTGGAATGATCTACATCTTTCAGGGAGGGAGTGGTCTCTGTGTTATGATATTATATACACAATATACATTGCTGTTACGGAATGCATTTTTATTTGAAACAGATTTTTTCTTTAGTGCTGTATTAACAGCTGCCTCCTTTTCCTCTTCTTGTTAAATACCTAGACAGGAATTTAATTTCCAATTCTATTACAGAGCCAGTGGGCAACTAGGGTTCTTCGAATACTGCTGGATTAGGAGGTTCAAGCAGCCAGCCAAACAGTGGAGAATGCCAGGGCTGTACTTGAACAACATCACTTCCCCATCCCTTCAGTAACAGCTACTAGCAAAAAAATACTGCTTTCATGAGATATATAATCAGTACTCCATTGGGCTTTATATGCTTTGAAGTGAGATAGGATCTTATTTAATCTTTTTTCATCTGGGGACTGCTGGATCACATGGAAAATCAACAGCAAGAGACTAACTTCATCCCAGGAGGGTAACAATAACAACAACTAGAATAATCATCACAACATAGGAAATGAGGGGGGGGTGTCACTCTATTATTGAATTAATCAACTGTATCAGAATTTATTACAAAGGACTAGTTAAAGTCAAAATGATAGTTGTTACATGCCCTTCAACAGTCAGTGAAGAAAGCAAACTGAAGCGAATATGTCAGTATGAAAGACTTGTGAAGAATGGGTCATTAAGTTGTTGATGTGAATCGCAAAGACGCAGCTGGTGTCAGACTGGTGTTTTATCACTTCACTTAGGCATTTCATCAGACTTATTGCAATAATACTCATGAAAGAAATAATCATGTAAATAATCATGCAGAGAAGAATATGCTATAAAGGCCGCTGTTACCAACTCATATTTAGAACTATCTGAATGCTATCTGAAGTTTGTAAAGTGATTGTTTAACAGTGCCCCATAAAATATGAAGAATTCCTATTATGAATAATTCGAACTCTGTAAAAGAACATAACCATTCATCCACAAAGCATTCAGAAGATCAGCTGACCGAGAGTGTTTCCTCCCTTACTTTTGCCATCCTTTCTCCATGGTGATTAGTAAAGTCTCCCTTGAGTCTTGAGACTCCCATGTAGTCATCTCTGGCTGACTACTGGATAAAAATCAGGCAACAATTCTTGGCAATAATACAGAAATGGTTTACCACTGGCTTCTTCTGGGATACATTTCAACTTCTTACTCTGTTCTACAGTCCTGGAATTCCACGCTTGTCTCTCTGCCAACTACTAACTGGGACTGATCCTGCTTAGCTTCTTAATGTAGACAAGGTCAGCCAAGTGCTAATCACGTGATAGACCTTTTCAACTTTTCTAAAAAGATGGTGTGATGATACTTTCTAATTATAAACAAGGCTAAAAGAACAGTATTCATCTCAAATTAATTAAGATACAGAGTGGAGGAAAGAGTTGTTGAATTAGACCTAGAATAAGATAGATATGTGCAAGATGTGACATTCAGTTCCCTATGACCTTCTGGTTAACAAGCTAGATAAATGCAAGTTGGAAGTATAACAAGTAATCCTTAAGTGAACCTGTGGACAACTATGCCAAGAGTGGGCTGTATAGAAACTTGATTAAATAAATAAATACTCAAAGCGTGCCTCCCCACAGTTCTTCATCAAATTGGAGGGAGGTATCAAGTGGAGTGTCTCAAGATTTATTCCAAGGCTCTGTCTTTTTCAACATTTTTATTAATGATTCAGATGATGAGATGGAAGAAAGCTTATAAAATTTGGAGAAGACTCACACTTGAAAAGGAAACCTAATATTCTAGAAGACAGAAATAACATTCAAAATTGTCCTGGCAAGTCAATAAAGTGGTTTGAAAATAGCCGAATAAAATCTAGCAGAGGCAAATGCAAAGTTCTTCATTTAGGAAAATAAATACACAAGTACAGGATGAGACCATATTTAATATGACTATCATAATAGTTCTTATGAAAAATACCTTAGAATTCTAGTTATCACAGAATATGCATCAGCAGTGTGATATGGCTCCAAAAAAGATGTTTAGAAGTATACTCTCTAAATCTCAGAAAATAATAGCTCCACTCTATTCTGCACCAATTATATCCCACCTTGAATGTTATCCTGCACTCTAAGAAGTATTCAAACTGAAAGAGATGCAAAGATGGGCAAAAGAGTGATCGGGAGAGTAGAAATAAATCCTATGAAGATGGACTAAGAGGTTTTCCTCATCTGCGCCTGGCACAAATACTCTCTGGCAACCTCTTTTTCGTCCTGTGTCCTCATGACATTGCCTTTATCTGGTCTTTAGGCCATACCTGAGGCAGCCTTAAGTAATCCTTAGCTCTCCAGCAGTTTTTCCCATGGATATAATCAGATGCATTTGACTAACTACTTTGTTGGTGGTGCAGTCAGAAGGCCTTTAGGGAGTGGTATCATCCCAGCTCCTATTGGCCACTCTAGACTGATGGAGACATGCCCCTTCCTTCCAGTTCCTAGGGTCTATTCTTCAGGACCAGTTTGGTTTGAGCAGTGAGGAGAGTATAGAGTATGTATCTTTCAAACTGGATTCTCCCCCTGTGGGAAAAGGGAGTTTAATCCATAAGCTTTCCCACAGTGGAAAAGTGCTCTATGAAGTAGGAGAGAGCCATTGTCACCAAACAGCCTTTCCCTCTGTAACTGTCAACTGTTAAGCCTTTGAACAAAGGTTCAGCTGTTCGTTAGGCACTAGATATAGATATACAGTAGATATAGCTAAATGCCTTTTCAAAAGGAGCCTAAGAGCTCAACTTTGAAGGGGGCAGGGTTGTATAGTGTAGTGGGAGAGCAACTCCCACTTCAATGTGAAGCCTTCTCCAGGGCTGTCCAATGAATCAGGCTCCTTTTAAACACACTTCTGCAAAAGACTTGCACAAAGCCAGACCAAGTTTTGACCTAAGGCTAAATCCACCAATCTAGCCATCTGTCAAAACTCACCTATTCCCCAGCCCAGTCCACCTTGAAGAAAATGAATGATGGATCCAGTTTCCCATCAGCTGGTCATATTTCGGGGGAGGGGAGGAAAACAAAACTGGGGAATGCCCCAATCCCTTTCCTTAATTTGCTCTGAAACTACCCTGAAGACACTACCCTGAAGACACAGCACGAAACAAGCAGAATAGAGAATGGAAGCAGGGACAGCAGACGTTATGCTGGTAGTTTTCTGCTGGCTCAAGCACTCATGGACACCACTTTTAACTCTACAGTGAGGTAGGGGCTTAATGGAAACAAGCTTCCATATTGTTTTCCTGGCAACAATAGGGCTTCCCACTGCCTTCTTTCAAGGTAGTTTTTCAACTTTCCTATTTATCAGCAAAGAGCCAAAAGCAGATAACTTAAGCACTGATTACTGCTATGATAAACAGTTTTAATAAAACTTAGCACTGAGGATTCTACTGAAATCAAAGGTAAAAATGCCAGAAAATTGTAGAATTCAATGTGGACTTGCTGGTTCTGTGCTCAAGATTAGGCCAACCTGTCCCAGTTTGGAGCCCTCTATATGTTTTGGGGCCAGATGTTGGCTAGTATGTTGGCTTCGAGCACATAACTGTTGCCAACTGCTAGAAGATACTCAGCACATCCTGAGTGCATCTTGAAGACCATCCTGTATCAGATGGTTACAGGGCCTTGTTACATCTCCCATCAGTTTGCGATTAGCTCTGTACGGGTACTGAAACCAGATACAGAACCATCCTGTATCTGGTTTCAGTATCTGTACAGAGCTAAGCACAAACTGATGGGTGATATACAAGGCCTTGTCTGCGTATGCACTGATGCTGGACTTCAGCACAGGAGGATATCCTGGCAGAGAAAAAGGAGATGCAACGCAGCCAACACCGGCATAATCTCAAACCATGGAAACAGTGTTTGTTGCACTTACTGGTCCTGCTACCATCCCCCACCTGTGAGAAAGCAGAAATCAAAACCCACTCTGGTTTCTGGGCTCTGAGAATTGCACATGGGTATTACACGTGTATGCAACTCATCCTCGAACACAACCATGCAACAAAAAGGCTGAATGCATATATGCATACCCATCAAGTGACAACCAGAGCTTGCATCAAGTATCCCAGATAGCTTTTTCACATGACCTTAAAAAAAGCCTTCCCCAAGGAATTGCCCTCCAGATGTGCTGGATTACAATGTCCAGAACTCTGAGGTACAAGACCATTAACAAGGAGAGAATTAAAAAAAAAAAAAAAGTTTTGGAAGATTCCAGGTGCAGAAAGGCTGCCAAATACAATATAGGACTACCAGACCTGAGCTGCAAAAATCCAAACAACCATTAGAGGGATGCAAAGAGACAGAGAAACCTGGGCTGCCATGCAGTGATCCTGCCAATTTCTTCAGCCCAGATTTGGTAGCCCCGTGGACACAGCTGCTTTCTACTAGCCCAGTTTTGCTGCCTCCTCAGTACTGTACAACTGAGCTTAGAAGAAGACAGAGGGAAGCATTCCACCATTCAAGAATTTCCAGTTCTTCTGACTTAGACGGTCTCCCAATTACGCAGAGATCGTCAGGGACTCCGCTTGAAAAGGGGATAGCTAATCAGTCTTATGATCTTGCATTAAGCTTCCCGCCCAACCTGACAGGCGAAAGCAGGAGGGCGGGGAGCTCCTGGGGCCCGTGACTATCTCGGAGTTTGGACGACATCCTCTCCCCAGCCCGCCAACCCGAGCGCTTAACGGATCTGTCTCTCCCGGAGCGGAAAGGCGGCGATCGCCATGGAGACTTGAGGCGAGGTTATAAAGCAGATCTGGAGAGCCGCCGCCTCGAGTCACCATCAGGCACCGAACCACGGGGACCGGTAGCAGCGGGAGGCCAT